TAGAAAGTGTACTTAAGTACAGTAACAAAGTATTTGTACTTCGTTACTTGACACCTCTGTCTGTTATAAGTAATTTTCCATAAAGTAAGGTAACAATAAATGACAAAACTCAATAAAAGGTAAAATAACTCTACTTTTCAACAATTCACTTATTGCTCAATAATTTTTTAAATGCTGAGTGTCCAGGAAGTAATACACAAGTGAAGTAATCATGGTTATTTTTCTATTTGTTCCAGACTCAATTAGAATAGTCCTCTTGGGAAAAACCGGAGCAGGGAAAAGCAGCCTGGCCAACACTATATGTGGAGATGAGCTGTTCTCCATCAACCATACCATCAGCTCTGAAACAAGGGAGTGCAAAGCCATAACCAGGCCTGTCAGTGGGAGGAACCTTACAGTCATTGACACCCCAGGTTTCTTCGACACAGACCAGCCAGAGGAAGACCTGAAGCCTGAGATATTGAGGTGTATCACCGAGTGCGCTCCTGGGCCTCATGTTTTTCTACTTGTTCTCAAAGTGGAAAAATTCACAGAGCATGAGCAGGCGGTTATTGAGAAAATCTGCACATATTTCTCTGAAGATATTCTTAAGTACGCTGTGGTGATCTTCACCCATGGCGACCAGCTGCCTGATGGGATAAAGATTGAGGATTTTGCTGCTAATAACAACCTTGTGAGTGAACTGGTGAAGAAGTGTGGTAACCGCTGCCATGTCATGGACAACAAATACTGGAACAGACACCAACAAGGTGAATACAAGAGCAATAAGCTCCAGATGGAGAAGCTGCTTCAAACAATTGACACAATGATAAAGGAGAACCAGGGCAACTGCTACACCAATGACGTTCTGCAGGCAATGGAGCAGGAAATAAATAGAGAGGAGCAGAACATTCGATTGGTTCAAGAAAATCTATCAAATGCAGAGATCAGAGAAAGGGCAAAGAAAGAAGTTTTAAGAAAGCTCCTCATCAACTTCACAGCTATTGGAGTAGGTACTTTGTTAGGAGCGCTTTTTGGCATGGTAGTCATGGTTGGAGCAGTCCTTTCTATTTTAAAGAAATCTTCCCATCCAGTAACCCTGAAGCAGGCAGTAGGCAGAACAATTGCAGCTACAGCAGGGGTAGCGGTTGGAACAGGAGGAGCAGCACTGGCAGGAGGTGTTGTACCAGCAGCAACAGCTTTGAGCATTACAGGAGCATGTGCAGCAACAGGAGCAGTTAAAGGGGCTTTAATTGGATACGATGTGGCCGAAGAAGCTAAGAGTCCAAAAGAAGCTGCCCTGCAAACCGCAGAGGCTGTGAAGTATGAAGCACAGGTTCATTTAAATAAGGTCAGCCAAGTTTGGAATAAAGCAATGACAACAAAATCCAAAACATCAGAGGAAGAAGAGGCTGCTCTGCTTGATGAAGAACTGAAAACAAACTAGCTGGAAGGTTTATTATCCTGACATAAAGATCTGAACCTTCAGTTTAATGTGAAAATGTATTGTTCACATTAAACTGAACAATACATTTTTTCCCATTCCCGGGATTAAACGATAAACTGTTAATCTGATCAGTTTAGATGAAACATCATTGAAAAACACAAGTTTGCTTAATCTGTGTTATTATGTTAATTTCTGTTACTACCTGCTCAACTGCTTTTCCAATATTGTTCATTTTTTTTCTACAATTATATCATGTTGGAATGTATAAGACTGTGAATTCATAAACAATTTTGGTGGACAGAGATTTTTTATAATGTAAAAATAAATTCCTGAAAAGGTCCCTGTGTTAAATGTCATTTACCCAATCATTCAATAGCCTACATACACTTAAGCTCCTAATTATTCATGGCAAATGTAGATATGCATTACGATCAGGGCTTCGTCATCCACATACCATGAGAGATTTGATAGAAAAGCATGACAATAGAGCCAGGAACGCTGGCAGTAATGCTACGGGAAAAAATGGTACTCAAATTAAAATCCTTGCAGAAGCTGAAAGAACCATTATCAAAAAAAAAAAAGAACCATTATCAAAAATTTGACAATATTGAGATTTATTTTACTTTTCTTTTGTGGAGTTGATTTGTTTATAAGAATTTTGTGTGATTTATTAAAAACAAAAGAAAGAAATATGAAGTAAGAGATTAAAATTACCCTTTTGTTTTATAGGCATAAATGAAGCACGTTTAAGAATTCTCTGTACATTTCTAAATGACCACAAGAGATAGCAGCTCATTAATCACACGGAAAACTTGATTGATTGGTTGACTTTATTGATCTCACAGTGGAGAAATGTGCTCGTTACATCAGCTCAAATAATCAGAGAAGTAGAATGTGCCTAACTAAAAAAAAAGGTGCATGGGAAACTAATCAAATATACCAGTAAAGACATTGAATTATTTATTTTTTTTTCTTCAAAAGATGACATTACATAAGGAGTTTAATTTTATAAAACTGATATCCTTGCAGATGAAATGAAAAGTAAATGAAATGAAAAGTACAAGAAAGTATTATTGTTGTTTGTGCAGCAGAGTGATCTGATGCAGCAGAACAAATGTTGTTTTTTCTGGTTCACAATGCAGATGCAAAACAAGGTTCTTAGACTGAAGGTAGTGATAATGGTAATTTATGAGAAACAAACCAAAGGTTGCTTGATTTTTAATTATGTTCTTGCCCGACAAGAAAAAAAAAAATACTTTCTTTACACAAAAGAAGGAAAAGAAATAAGCTCCCAACAGCTTTTACTAAGATTTTTTAAAATCCTTTTATATGGTGTCAACATTCTTTAGGCAAATTAGTGTATCTTAACATTTTTACATATTTTACATTGTTAATAATCATATGCATTTGTGTTGCTTTTAAAACTATATAGAAATAGAACTTTGTGCAGTGGATGTCATGACATCAAACATAAACATACATCAAAAGAACAAGTGAAATGACTACGTCAACCAAAGAAGTAAGCAATTCAAATAACAGTAGTGAAATGGTTATGTTACTAGATTAGCATAATATAAATAGCATAACATAGCTTGCAGTGTTAGTATTAAATTACTAACAAAATAAAAATATTTATGCTGCATATTTATACAATATTGACATATAAGAGTAGTGCATGTTATATATTTAAACATAGATGTGATTCTTATTCATTGCAGTTTTGCTAAGGAAGCATCTTTTCTGTTTCTATTGTAGTTTTTTCCCAGATTTAGACATTACGCATAAGCCATAAGGTTTAAATACTTCACTTTAACTCAAGTTGCAATATAAAAAAAGAGATTTTCACACATACGTATTACAAAGCTTTTTTGTAATATATCTAGTTTAATCCGGCTACATTTTTCATGCATATTACCTGCTAGATGTATAAAGGGTTTACAGGGAAATCTGGTTAACATGAGGAACTTTCTAGCTTTTCCGGGCTTTTTAGCTACATAATTGGGTCATGTGTGTTTTGTCATATCTGATGTCCTATTGGATAAATATTGTGCTCTACTAAGTTTTGTTTTAACCTGTGCAGCCAGTTCATGCATATAGAACTAATATACAACCTGCTTCTTCTGTAAACACTAAAATGCACATTCTTATAATTCTCCCTTTCACTTTACTGGTGGTACATGGTTTTGTTTAGTGTTATTATCATGTATTAACAGTATAAGCAACACCAACAGTGAAAACAAAAACAATGCAACAAATGAAAGGATTGTTTCAACATTTACACTGAGAACTAATGATATCATTAATAGTAAGTAAAACACAATCGCCAGCAGTATTTCTCTGATGTGCTTCTTGATTTGAGAAATGATTTTTACAACCCACACAATTATTTCAATAAACTTTTTTAATGCATATAAGCCTCCAGGTGCCATGATTCCCAGTGATGTCAGAATGTGTTCCCATGTCACGCTTGTACCAGCTATCGCGGCTGTTGCCTCTGTTGCGATAAATCCTTCAGTAGCTTCTGCTACAACTTGTACTCCACCTGTGCCTCCCCCACCTGTTGCTCCACCTGAGCCTCCTCCACCTGTTGCTCCACCTGTGCCTCCCCCACCTGTTGCTCCACCTGTGCCTCCTCCACGTGTTGCTCCACCTGTGCCTCCCCTACCTGTTGCTCCAGTTGTGCCTCCCCCACGTGTTGCTCCACCTGAGCCGCATCCTCCACCTGTTGCTCCACCTGAGCCTCCTCCACCCGTTGATCCACCTGTACTTCCACCTGTGTCTCC